GAAGGGCAGGACCAGCTACACCTCATCATTTGCTCAGTTTTACTTTGCTACCAGCTTTCCTTTGTGTCCCCTGCAACCACAAAGCATTTTTGCTCCACGTTTTCCCAAGGCCCACATGCACCTTGAAAGGAACCAAAGAGAGGATGAGAGATTTAGGATGAACTGTCTCAAACAGTAGGTAAGGGAACGGAAGGAAAAATGGAAAGGTCACACACAGAGCTGTAATACACTGGGCTAGAGGCTAGTGTGAGACTACGGCTGTTTTGTAGGCTACAAATTTTGCTGTCTCATTTCTCATCCTAATCATTCGCAGTTACAGTTAACTTCCGGGACAAGCTACGTAAGCCCATGAGCATGGGATTGTTCCAGCATCCACAACACACAAAGCAACGCAACATGGAAAAGCCGAGGAGACTCCTGCCTTGCTTTAGTCCCACTTCTTTGAGCTAGAGGTGAGGAGGGATGAGGATTACAGTCGAAGACACCCATAATAAAAACGTTGTCTCAGGCAGCGACATTAATGCTTCCTCTGAGCCACAGCAGTGTCTCTGACACTTCCTCCAAAACAGAAAAAAAAAGGTTTTTTTCCTGCAGTATAGTCCATTTTTTTGTCCTGAGTGCTGAAACCATCCACTCCCAATTACCACCTCCTTCTTTTCTCTGCTTAACACCTATAAGGTCTTAGCAGTTGATCTCAGAGACAGTGAAGAGAGGAGTGCAATCCAGAGCAGAAAAATAAGCTTCCAGACAGCCCCGCTTGTTTGACATGCTTTTAAGCATTGGTGATTTACTTAATCAGGTCTCACAAAGAAGCAAATTAAACCCACTGCTGTTAGAAACAATAATTGCTTTTTAATAGGGACAGTAATTTTGCTCAGGCTGGCTGAATCCGTTCGCTGTCTCTAGGATTTCCCTCTGGAAATCCTAGATATATTGTAGTCACACGCTCCGCCCCACTCCCTGCACTGTCTCTCTAAGGGCTTTTTAATAAAATTAATAGTTGCCAACAAATTCCTTGACTCTGCCAAGGATTGGCAGAACGACCCCAGCCTTTAAAGTCTCCGAGCTAATCATGCTCAGAACAGAAACTCCACCATCTATTACCCTAAAAAATAAAATCCTAAGGCATCCACAAATTTGCAGAGTTATTCAAAGTTTGACCTTCTAATCAACATAGAAATCAAAAACAGAACTGCAGGGTAAGATGCTAAATGCTTAGTTATTGATGAAGGCACTCCTAGATTTTGCTAATGGCTCAACTTGATTAATAAAAAAAAAAATCTATTGATTTTGCTTCCAAAACATTTAAAAAGTGCTCAACATGCTGGCATCAGATATATATTACGAAGTGCACAGAAAAACTGCCATTTAAATAAAGAAGAAAGAGAATCAGGCCATGGGAGACATTAGAAGGAGATGAATTAGGAAGCCCTTCTCAGTTTCACTGAAGCAGCAGCAACTGGAGGCAGAGTCAGGGCCAGGCTATGGTAGCACAACCCTACTGTGAACGGAAGACAGCAAATCCAAATTCAAGTCAGACAACATTCAGCATAAAGTAGGCAAGACAACCCTTTCTTCAAGGAATTTCCCTGTGAACAACACTCGTTAAAACGAGGCAATTCTTTCAGTCTGTGTCACAGACACATGCGTATTTTCTGGCCAGAGTAGCATAAAATTCCTATTAACTGCCGTTTGTCTCAGCTGCACCCTCAGCACTAACTCTTCTACTAGTCTTGGAAATATTGCATACACACTTTTCCTCTCAGTCAAAATAGCCCATAATGTTGAGATATCATGACTGTCAGTAATCAAGACCCAGGACCACAGGATATTTTCTTCCGGAAAAAAAAACATTTTTCTGCGGATATAGCACAACTCTGAAGTCTGGTATCTCAGGGACTGGCATGTTAATAAAGAAGTTAAAATGCGTATTTCCCTAGGTTCCCATGGGAACACAACATTTATTTCCAGATCTGGATAGTTTCAAGATACTGGGTTAAACACTTATTAAAACATACCTAAAAAAAGCTACTCCTAGATTTTTTCAGTAGCTTACCAAGTAGCATTCATTGGGACTAATAGCTCAGGGGGCACAGGCCCCTTAAATCACAGGGGTACCTAGGACAGACAGCGCCCAGAGGGGTCTGAATGTTTGGAAAGATAGTTCAAATGTTTAGGGTTGGAGCAGAGCTGATACCCATCAGAGGTCACAAAAAAGCGCTGTTACTGCATAATTTTGTTCAGGACTCGACACACTGCTTACACTGTCTCATCCGGGAACACCTCGCTGCTGTCTGCCACAGCTCTGGGTGCGACCCGGGCACTTACAACGACAACCAGACATACCTGCTACCCAGCTTGTAAGTGAAATGGCTTCTCTAGTTCAATACAACTCATGTGAGGAGAGGTTTGTCATTAATTTGAGACAAAGAAGTTTTGCCTTTATTTCTGAAGGCAGCAGAACCTAGTGCTGGGGAAGATGAGAGGAATCCAGAGAGAAAAAAGAAACAGTCCAGCTAGAGCAGGTGAAATTCTCTGTACTTGCTACAGAGGAGGAAAAGCATTGAGGGAAGTTGAATTCATGAACTGAAAGATACCTCCAGTCTGTAGAAACTCTGTCTACACACCTTACGCAGATTCCTGAATGCACACAACCACATTCCTTCTCTCCCTATGCTTTTCACATGCATTACAGCCTAAATCAAAACTTGGTGATGGCAAGAAGACTCTTTCGCTTGCCATCTCAGCTCTCTCAAGTGACTAGATGATGGAACAGATCTTGTCTTCTCAGGATCACAGATCTGTGGGCAATAATTACAAGGGACCAGTTGCAAGCTAACTTAAAAGCTGATGAAAATAAAACTCTCCTTTTGAAATTAAAAATATCAGGGGGCCTTACATGAAATAGCAAGAAAGCTGTGGTGAGCATTAAACAAACAGATGAGAGAAAAAATGTGCTAGACATGTATAACGCTGTACACAAATGTATCCTATTAATAGAAAGCTTTCTCATTTGCACTAATTTTTAAAGAAACAAATCCCTGAAACAAATAGACTAACTGGGCTATTTTTCAAAAAAATGGAGAAAGAGACATAAAATGAGCACTTAATCTAGAAGACCACTGGGAAAACATAAATTTGGTCCTTGGAAAAAAACAGACTCAGACAATAAAAGAAGCTGTGTTTCAATCACAGTCTTTGATCATTCAAGATAAGTATACTGGAAAATGAAATTTTCTGCTTTATTTGATTTCTTTAGGAAATAACCTCTTTCTTCTCTGTTCCTACCCAAAGTACCAAAAAATCCACCCTGAAAAGAAACAACCAGAATCTCCCACTGTTCTTTTACTGAACACAACTCGTTTCTCCCATCTCTGAAATAAAAATTCTTACAATAGATACTTCATCCACACTGCATATTAAACCTGCTGCTGCTACAGTGCTCTAACATTTCAATTTGCTTGTGATATTTTCACCATTTCCATCAAGTTCTTTATAAGAACATACAAAAGAAAACTGTTTACCGAACAATAAAACATAAACTCTATCCCTCTTCTAAACAAAAGCTTTATTAATCTTGCATAGACTTCAGTTTCTTACTGTATAGAAAACAAAACAACCCTACACTTCTGGAAAGGTATCCTGCAATGAGAAACTTCAGGATATTTATTTAATTTCTTAGATTGAAAGTAAGGTTGGAACTTGATCATTTCACATAATACCAGCGCAGAGAGAAATTGCTTTTTGTAAGGTGCAGACAAAGACATCAAATGCAGCATGGGGAGATTCAAGTCATGGAAATAAAATATTATTGCTTTTAAGCAATGGAGGTAATTAGCTATCAAGATAACTTTCCATAAAAAGTAGCAAGTCTGTTAACACAGTCATTAAACCAAACTTTTATCTCTCTCTGTAAAAGACACACCCTAGTATAAGCCCAAAATCTTGGCTTTGCAGCATTCAGTCACTCAGAAAGTCAAGTCCTTGTACTCAAGAGCCAAACCTCGAAGGTGGAGTTGCCCAAAGGCCCTGCAGGGCCGCTCAGTCAGCGGCAGCACAGAGCTGTGACAGCCACCCATCCATTCCTCTTTGGCGACATTTCAGCGACCACTTGAAAACCAGGGCGCTCCCTCAGACACCACTCACACGTTTACACTGCTCCTCGTGTTCCTCATTATGATGAGAGGAAAACAGAGCCTCTACTAAACTTGCATGAGACACACAGGGAAGGCCTTCCCGGACAGTCGATTACATACTTGGAGACAAACTGAAAGAGTGCTCTTTTAGCATTCTCAAACCTATGTCTTTCAGTCATTTTGAAAATCCTAAGGGAAGCAGTAGTGAGAAATAATCAATGCAATCAAATTCTTTTGATTTATATGAACTGTGGAATAGGCCCTCGCTGCCCTTTTGAATTAAAATGGTTTCAGCAAGGACCCTTGGTGGTGGATTCCTCTGTTGCCCACAGAGCTGGCCAGGACCAAGTCAGTCAAAGCCCAGAAGCACAGCAGCCTTGTACCCGATTCACGGGAGACAGCTCAAGCAATACGTAGATGGAGAAAGTAAATTCCATAAGCCCTGTGAAGGGCTTAACAGTTAACTGTATTTTAAATAACAGATGGTCACCAGTTGGGATGTTGTACCAGAATAAGGTATCCACACCTGTAATGATGACAACACTCTTCACAGCACTTCTTACCAATCTTCACTTAAAACTATTCAATTACACTGATATTTCAGATGAGATTTAATGCATTCTGAGTAACATTTGACTAAAAGAACAATCTGCATAGGAAAAACTACAGTAAAATGGACATTGCCTGAAATGGATTTCAAGAAAGCAAACTCCCTCACAGCGTTCTTTTATCCTTCAAGCTATGACAGTCTTGTCACCACTGTATTTCAGCAGCTAAAAAGAAAAAAAAAATTTGGAGCACATTTAGCAAACTAAGTTTTATGTTGTTTTTTTTTATTGAGGAATTACTAACAAGAGATTTATTGCACCCTGCAAGTTTTTTAGAGGTTCATGAAGACTTGACATCAGCAGCAGAGCCATTTACAGTGTGCGACAAGGGAAATAAACAGATCGGGAAACAGCAAGTGCCGGATATATTCAGCGCATGTTCTAACCCCAGAAAACAAAAGAACCATTTTTCTTGCACTGCAGCTTGTCACCCTCCCAGTACTGACTTGTAAATTTACACAGGAGGCAAGACAATCCCAGTCCAATCTTAAAATGTCTCAATCATTCAGTCTTTTTCCTTGACCCAACACATCACTTATCTTCACAGCTCACAGCAGTTTCACCAGGATGCTCTGTCTTCAATTTTTTATGAGATGGCTCTCCCGGGAGAAGAGACGTGCAATGCTCTAAGGATCGTGCAATTTCATCAATTGTCCATTTGTCTTCATAAAGGGCATGCTCCTCTAGCGTAAACGGTCCATGTTTGGTTCGGGTCAGCTCTTGCATCGTGGCACACGTAGAGAGTTCTACAGTAAAGGAGAAAAGGAGATTTCGAAGAAGCCCATGGTTAAGTTTAACCATTTGCAACTCACTTAAAATGTATTTTTATTTCTACATTATGCTGCTTCGTTTGAGAAGACAGCTCACGAAGATTTAGCACTCATTTATGTCTTCTTAAATTTGAGCCAAGGAAGTCCTTTGATTTCAATAGAAGTCCAGTACAGTAAAGAGTTCAAAATCTGACGGAAAGCTGACAAAAGGTTTTCCAGATATAAATCAGAATGAAAAGAGAGGAAAGAATGAGATAAGGCATAAGCAGAACATTCTGCATCCACAAGTGACTTAGAAGATCATCTACTGTTTTTCCACAGACTTTTGAAGCTTTAGCATTTCTTGCCTTCAGGAAGGATTTTTTGACTTTTTTTTCCTGTGTCACCTATCAGGAAAATATAAACTAAGATAAGGGAAAATAAAAAATACAAATAAATGCTCTGCTCTGTTAAATAAGTACCAGTACTACAGAATTACATAATGCAGAGCTACAAAACATAACGGCAACCATAGCTGACTTGGAAGCATGCAGGTATACTAAAGTATTCTCTCCCATCCTTTCTGATGCAGGAAGATTTTTACTTTATTTTAAATTTTTGAAAAGAAACCATTTGAGGACAGACTTTATCTTGGTTTCTCATTAAAGGACTGAACATAAGCCAATATACTCAGAAGGCAGTAACAGAAAGAAAATCTTCAACCTGTCTAAGCAAAAATAACATTGAAATTCATAAGGTTATCCCCACATCACTTGCTTTCTCAATCTGCAAATGTATAATTTTAAAAAAGAATTTGAAAAGCATTATCTGTTCTCCATCATGCAGTTTGATAGATACAGAGCACACGTCAAATAACACTGTGGGAAAGCAAAACCATTCTCAGTTCAGGTAAAGGAGAAAGAAAACACTAGAAAAATCATCATAGATGTAGAATTCTTTCCAGCAGATAGGGTTTATTATGTGCATGGTAACATTCTGTGCAATTTGTTTTCAAAATGTGATGAATAATGTTTAAAAAGACAGTATTATTCTTCTTCTCATCCTTAATCTGAGTTAGTTTTAACATATGGAGGAGGGGAGAAAAATCCCCACCTTTCCTTGTATTATCTTGCTCTGAGCTATTACTTGCTCCAGTTTTATCCCCCAGGCCCCAAGGTCCTCTGGCAATTATTTAACCTTCATTCCCCCATGCTCCCAAGGAAAATACCTTAGTATATATAAACAAGTGATACCACTACAACTCTGCAAAATAACACATAGGTCCAGGTACTAGAGATATACAAAATTAGAGGGTTTTTTCCCATAAGCAGACACATTAATTTCTTAAACTGTTGTGGGCTTTTTTCATACCTACCTTTGCCAATGTCACTGACCAGGCTCCTGACATAAAAGCCACCACCACATTCAACATCTGGAACGTTAATAGCAACATGGTAAATTGCCAGTGCACTGTAAAATCTACTTTACATAGAAACCATGCCCCCACATAGATGTAAAAATACGCTAAGCAAACAACCCAGTGATAAAATATTTATAGGATGCACCATCAATTATTCATCCTGTAACATATGTGCGGGTGAGACTGCGAAGCTAGACAGGAGGGAAAGCAAATACAATGGCAACAGAACGAACTCACTAGAAATTAAGTACTTGCTGTGGTATGTTAACAAATACTTCAGTTCTATTATTTTTAAAGCTTTCAGAAGGTTGTTTCGCATTTCTAATGAAAATCAGTTATTTCTAAACTAACCATTGATGCTTTTAAGAGACTGCACTCAGGCAGCTCCAATAAAATTTTAAAATTCACCTCTAACTCTCCCTCCTCTCTCAGCCCCTCCCTTCCCCCTCTGCGAGCGATCACCTGCTTGTCACTCAACCATAAAGTAAGGGCTGAAGTAACAGAGCCCCGAGTTGTGTCACTCGGACCTGCCCATCACGTAACAGCTGTGCCATCAGAGGGCTATGGGTCAACTAGGTAGCTGACCAACGTAAAACATTATCTTGACCTCACAGCAGCATCAAACATTCAGTCTTTTTGGTTTATTTATTAATGTCCTTCATAAAGTACTATCCAAGCTTCTTCATGTATGACAGAAGGAAGGATAAGATCCTGCCTACTCAACCGAGAAAGAGGCCTGATGGCACTTGATACTGGTTCTTGCAGCACCCCGGGAGAAGTGCCAGCAGCCTGTGTGTCTGTGCAAAACATGGGCAAAGAGAAGCAAGCAGACCTGAGAAAGGAGGAGTGAGCTGGAGGCTGCAAAATCGTGGACAGATGCAAATAATCCCCTGACCAGCCTCTCAGAATTTTCCCTCACACAAAGATTACACATAATCAGCTTAACTTAAAACCAAAATACGGTGCTTTTACTGCAAAGTGAAAGTCTCTGTGCGCCGTCTTGCACCAAAACAAGTAGCTGAGGGAAATGAAACCCATTTCACTATCTTATTGCCATTCTGACTGTAAACAAGCACTAACAAAGCGGGGAGCATCCCTCTGTGTAATAATCTCTGGCCTTTACCCAGTGTGAACAGTGGTGGGTGGAACCGCTGGAGAGAGAGGCTGTACACTCGTACTGGCCGAGCAGGCTTTGCTTCGACTGCTTCTCCTCTCTTCATCAGAGTTGATAGCCTTTCTCCATCCTTCTTCAAAGCAGAATAGCTGATCAGATAGAGTACGAAAATGTGTGTCATACGGTTGTAATAGAACAAGCTTACCGTCCTCGGATCCTGTTAATATTGCACTGCAATAACAGATTTTACCCTTCTAATCTTCTCCAAGTACTCACCAACAAAATAAACCAAACAACCCAACCACAAACAACTAGCAAGTGCTTCTGGAGACATAGAAACATCTCACTTACCAGTAGCTACATAAACTGGAAAACAAAAAACAGTCCTGTATTTATCTCCTGCTGTACAGATTTAGAAGTGTTTATTACTTCATTTGTAGGTATTTTTAAAAAAAGGGTTTCTATAAGGGATATAACACTTGCAGCTGTCTCTAACATACTGCCTCTGAGAAGTCTGCAGGGCACACTCTGCTTCGGTGTTAAGTCGAGCTGGGCACTGGGAGCTGAGCAGGCAACTCCTGTAATTCTGTCTTGCACATTTACTTGTCTCACAGAGTCTTCCCTGAGCAGCAACTGCCAACAGCAACTAGCCTCGCTCTAGGGTGCTTAGGGGACCACTATAGAACAAACAAACAAAAATTCACTGATCACATAAAACGTTACCCAGCTCTCCAACTTTGGTCTTGACAGAAAGGTGGCCATGGAAAAATCGAAAAAATATCTTGCTCAAATTATCAGAGGGCAATTTGACTCCCGTCACATGAAGCAGAACACTTAGCAAATTACTGACCTTCCAGAGCTCACATTGGAACCACAGTAGCCAACCCATTGCAAATGCAAAGGAAAGCACGTTAGCTTAAATCACCATAAAAGCCATCTGTCACAAGCTAAGTGCTTGCACATCGCCAGCTCCTATGGCTCACCTGACTAGAAGAAATTTGCTAAGCTACGGAAGCTCAGTCACTAATCACTCATTCATACTCTTTAAGTTTTCAGAAAACTAATTCAAAGCTTGAAGGCACTTCCATACAGATGTCAGTAGGTCTCTCCTTACCCCAACACTAAAATTAAAGACTCAGTGCTTTGCTTTCTAACTGGAAGACAAGACAGAAGCCACCAAGCCCTGCAAAGCTGTTTAAGGCTGCCTTGCTACTTTACAATTATCATTAAAAAAAGCAAACTCCAGGTTACCATTTGTGCTTGATGTTCAAATGTGCATGACCCGCACTTGCAAATGTTAAACTCCTAAATCTGCCTTGCCTCTATCCTCTTGCCAAAATGCGTCTTTTTACATCTGAAAGAACTGACTTCTCCTGGCAAGTCCCGAGAGCTGAACACAACTGCCAAGAGCGCCTGAATATTGCACAACTTACAGCGGAGGAACCTGCATTATGTCCCCTGTGAACTTTTGCAGCACATTTTCAAGATCTCCTTGTGTTATCTGGTCTGCAGAAAGAAAACAGTAAGTATGTTAGCATTGACTATTCACATGGCACTAATAGCATCAATCATGTTCTGCAAACAGACACAAAGAAGAGATCCCTCTCGCCTGAATTTAGATTAGTGAAAAATACCAAAGAAAAGAGATAAAAACCAGAATGTAGGTAGGAGTGTGAATTAGCAGAAAAAGAGTGGAACAAACTGTCCAAGGTGATTAAGACAGTCTGCTTGCTTTCAGAAGGCCAGAAATCCCAATGTACGCTGTTTTCTTTTGCAATTTCTCTCTCTTAGGACTGCAAATTCATTCCTCTTGGGAGCTACACAAAAAATAAAAAATTTTTGTTAAAGGACCAAAAAGAATAAAGTGCTCATCTAACCTTGGCAACTTTTCTTTAAGAGCACCTAACTGTGGGGGAAAAATACAGGACATTACTAGAGAACAAAAGCACCGTGTTTTTTTTTTTCTTCTAGCGAAGACAAAGACTGCATCTGGAACAACACATCAAATTTCCGTATCAAACAACTAACCTGCAAATGCACACCAGGTATTGATATATTTTAAGTAGGGCAATTTTACTGAAGAAATCCTGTAAAACAAAGACAGCTGCTTTAGGCAATCTACTCTCTTTTAAGAGTACACATACAAATCTGTCACACTTTTAATAGAAGGCTATAACCTAAGTAGCTGATTGCATCGGTCCCTTGAAATACTATTCAATAGAGATGACATTCATTTCTAATTTGTTTAGAGTACAAACATAAAATCTGTAACCACAATGCAGTTCAGTGCATTTCTGCTGTCTAGGACTTGACCAGTCCCATTTCTCCTAAGTTATATTTAATTAGTGTCACAATGCTTAGTCAACAGCATCCTGGAACAGAAACGACTAAATTTATTTATTTATTTATTGAGCTTTCGTTATGTTTTGGAAAAGACTTTTACTTGCAAACCTTACAAAAGAGACGCACTTCATACTGTAAGTAGAAAGAAGAGGTTTCTTTCCATACTGGCTTTGGAAGATGGCAAAGTGGCACCTCACTTTTGCAAAGCAGGCTTTGCAGCGTCAAGAGCAGATGCTGTCCCTAGGCCACAGCAGCTGTCTCGACAAGTTTCCTAACTGCAAGGCACGACAGACAGCCAGGGCTGCCGAGAGACACCAGTGTGCATCAGAATACAGGGTAGAAACCAAATCAGTTGCACAGTAAGTCTGGATCTTCTTCTGAAAAGTTTCTAACATGGTTATTTCAATGATCGTACTAGGTCTGTGAGCAGACTGTTTAGAATACGTTCAGTTCAACATGTTTCTTCCTAAGCCCTTACACCGACAGTGGGGTTATGTGTTCTCTGAACAGGCTACATGTCTTCTAACGGACTATTCTGCCGATTCCATCAGCACCCCAAAGCACCCAAAACTTCAGTTTTCCATCGTTTCTTAAAACATTGAAAATAAGCCTATTAGCTTCCAACATGAAAATTCTTAAGAACAGTTCCGTTTCTGAACACTGGTGACTGTTAATCAATTTTCCTGCTATAATCATGAAGGAAGTTAATGAAAGCTACCAAATCAAGAGGTGCCAAAACGTCTGGATGTCTCTACTGAAGGGTGATACTGCCCTGCACTTGTGAACAAACTACACCGAAACAGAACACAAGAATTACCCATGAGAGCCCAGCAAAACTATAAAAGACAACCTTGACTCAATCTGGCTCAGCACAAATTATTTGCAAATAGACAAGCAAAATGCTGAGAGCACTACTTTTTTTCAAATTATTCAGTAGCTCTATTGAACATGCATTTCAGCAAAATCAGCAGAGACCTGCAGAAAATCCTCACGAATTTCGTTCTCCGTGTCTGGATAAAGCCTATAGGCAGCTCGGAGGAGGTGGGTTTCAGAATGCACATTCCTGTGTAGAGTTACAAACGTTCCAAAAAGGGCTACAAGCATTAACGTGCTCAGGAAAGCGTAAGAGGAGCTAAGCGCTACTTGCCTCCAAAGTCAGCATCTGACAGCCTGGGAGCAGTATGAAACCATAATTTCATGTGGAAATGCAAACTTCTCCAATAAGAAACAAACACAAAACTATGAGAAGTTCAGGAGGGGTTAAGCCCAAGGAACTCTCTCCAGTACATTGTTCCTTGTGACTAACTGCAACACACACAGTTTTTCTGAACTGCTGCCTAGAGAGACTTGGAGGACTAAATTGTAACACTTTCCTATAGGTAATAGAAGAGGCAACTTTCTGTGAGCATTTTCCTCTTGTGGTCCAGCAGAGTCGCTGAACAGTTTTAAATATCTTGTGATGTTTTATATATCTTTTATACATCTCGTGATATTTTATTGCCCTTTTTCTGCACTAAGACTCAATCCTGGATGCTGCTGGCACTGCAGGATTTAGATTCCCTAGCAGATGCTCTGCTTCTCCCAGGATCCTTGTAGGGTCAAAGGAAAGCTGAAATACAGCTCAAATATCTCGTTCATCTGTTCTTGGAGTGTCAATTAGGATCAGGGATTAGGGATGGTGGGCCAGAGGATCTTGCAGAAAACCATGCCGCTTTGGAGAAGACACTGGAAAAGAAGAAAAATATCTTCTTCATGAGAAGAGGAGGAAGGAAGGAAATAAAGAGTATGTAGGTAGCATGGAGGAAAAAAGGAGGATGCACATTCTTACTTCATTCTATCTAAAGAATTCAAATCTGACAGATACGCACCAACAAAGAAAGCAAGACCAATTTCATGAGTCTTTCTTTCAGCTATGAGCTTCAGCAAAAAAGAAACTCTGTCCAGTACCCAAAGCAATGCCAAAACTGCTCTTCATGAGATGGATTGATGAACTGGATCATGCAACTAGTCTCAGTTTATAGAGATCAGCAACTCAAAAAAGGGGGCATTTTTAATCCAAAGCACATAGTCTAACAGAAAGTTAAATAACCGTAACTGAGGAGGAGGTGCAGAGGTGGGAACTACTATAACAAGAGCTACCAGTGAAAGAAATGTGCATGAAATCACACTCAAAATTCTGTCTGCAGTAAACAATATAAAATACAAAAGAAAAACCAGTGTTTGAAGAATCATTTTTTTTATTAATTGACCACGGGAGTTGCACCTGCTTAAAGTGATATTTCACAGTTCTTATGTGAGCAAGTATTTACAATGGATACTACTTTGCACAGCAGAACCAGAACATTCCATTTTCTGAGAGGTACAGCTAAAAACCAAGACAGCATTTTCGCCAACTCTAACACCTCGTGGACGCTCAGTCCTTCAGAAGCTTAGAGAGAGACCTAGACCTTGATGCCAAAGCAGACGCAAATGATCTGAATAACATTACCTAGTAAATAATACTATTTAAAATGATCCATCAAGCTAACACTGACAAGAAATTCACACTTGCCTGCCTTACATGAAAAGAAAAACCGCAAAAGAAAGGAGCCCGGAGGTGAGAGGCAGAATCCAGGCTACCTTTTTCATCATGCTATTAAAAAAAAGACAATTTATTTCATGTACCTATTATCAGGTACCACAGTGTGGGACCTGCAGAGTTGCTAAGCAACCAGTTAGGGTTTTTTTCCCTCTTTTTTTTTTCTCCCAACCCTGGTTGTGAAAGAGCTAATGGCAAATGCATTTGGTGTGCCTCTGGTTAGTTCTACGGTGCTTCCAGGATGCCCAGATTAGTTCTGAAGCCTTAAACTCTTGCACTGTACTCTGTGGGTCAGAAAGGTTTATTTATTCAAGTTCCTAGGGCACCGATTGCAAGCAGGAGCAAGATCTGGTAGGTGAACGCATGCAGAAAGCACTTTATGCCGTCCTTACTTTACGTTGAGCAGTCTGTAGCGAAAGAGGCATCCGAGAGAGAAGATGTAAGTACATTATTCCTCCACTGGCCCTGAAGGAAAATACTAAATGAGCACTCATGGAACTATATGCTGAAAGAGGAAACTGTTACTGGACACAGCATGTCATTTGTCAGCCTGTCAAAGATTTAAAATGACACAGGCCAGCCCATTTCTATTTTCTCTCTCCTAATCTAATGTCTAGTTTCTTTTTTTTCCAACAGAAATGAACATTTGCACTAGACATAATTGCATGAAGCTGGTCTGAATTATATGAGCACTTGAAGTTGAAATAATCTTAGTCTGATTTCACATTTAAACTTAATTCACAGAGTCCTAAACATCTCTTCCGCTTTTTTATGATACAGACCATTTATGCCTTTAATTGCATCAAGTACATAGATACATTTATGCTTACCATAAGGTTTTTCTTCAGTTACTTTTCCTGTAGCATCTAACGTATCAGTAGCTTGGCCCAGCAGTCCAATGGCAGTGTACTTCTGAGAAGGAAAAAGATTAGGCAGTCAGATCTTCAAGGATGTTTCTTTTTTCCTTTTTTTTTTTTTTTTCCTAAAATAAAGACTGCATCTACCAAGTACTTCAAATCAGGCCAGGAGGAATACCATCTGAATAGTCAATACAGCAACTTTAGGTAAGCAAAAGTAAATATGAAAAGACATGGAACTAAACAAAAAGTAAGTCCTGCATTACACACATCCAGGATTTCAGTTTTAGAAACCTCAAGAAGAAGCAACACAGAATCCACTTTTTACTAAAAAAACAATAATATCATAAAGAACATAATAGGGTGGTAAATTCAAAATACCTGTGGGGTGTCATATGTTACTGTTGAAGCAAGGCACAGAGAGTACCTTTCACACACAATTTTTATGTTCCTTCACAATTCAAAAAAACCCAAAAAACAAAAAAAACCACCCCACAACAAAGCAAAAAAGGAATCAAGATGTTTACTTGTGAAAGCAAAATACCTATATCCAAGACAAAGCACTGCAACAGCCCTGCTGTGAAATGCAGTGATAGGCAATAGCCTAAAGCTGGAGTTTCGAGCACCTGGGATCTGGTAAGGGCCTTCTGACCAGCACAAGGAGTGCAAGGCCACTGTGTGACATCTCCTCTCGTCATGGGTCCTGCTTTGGGGTTTTTCAGGGATCTTCGCTAAAGAATTCTTTAAACAGAAGGTTTCCCATGTGCGAGCTGCCCCATGTCTTTTCACAAGGCTGCCAACACATGAAGACTCACTCTGTTGAATAAGTTTGGGTCAAGCTTGGAGATAGCTTCAAGCATTAAAATCTGTGGTTTGACCCACTGCCTAGCCCATTCCATTTCCTTCAGCCCTATATTAAGTCCAGGGGCCTTCTAAGTAACGCATTTACACAGCCTGGGAGAGAAAAATCCAGGTGTTACACACACCTACCTCCCAGTAAGGTTTCAATAAACTTACTCCCAAACTGAGCTAACGCATACTTTTCTTACTTTGTTCAAATTTCTATCTTCTAGAAGCTGGTTGGCCAAGTTCTGCTGGAACACATCCAAGCAGACATAAGCACTAACATTTTACTCTGATGCAACGCACCCTTTTTCACCTATTTCTGAAGTACAATACAACTCAAGTAATAACAGTGTAGGCTTATAAATCACACCTACAAAACAGGACTACTAAAAAATGCCTTGATTTTGTTCCATGTGACAACCTGCCACTTCACTGTATTTCTTCAAGCAACTGCCACAAAATAGAAG